GAGACAGTTAATTTTTAATATTTTCTTAAAAAAATACAAAGGAAATTAACTCTGTAGGTCAGTACAACTCAGGGAAAGAGGAAAAAATGGAATTTCAGAGCAAAGGGAAAGTACACCCTTGTTTAGGTTATGGCATTCCCACACTCTCAATACTTATAAAGCAAGAATTTCACTCCATGATACACAGGTGCCTTGAATGGTAGCTCAGAAATGGTGATAGCAGAGGTACTAGAACTAACAAAGGAATTTTTGTTGTCCTTGATTATTCTGTCCTGGAATGAATAAAATCCATTCTATGGACATGTAAGGGAAACTTATAGCAGGAAAAGGACTAAATGTACCAAACACAGCAGTAAAAATCACTCCTTACCAGAAGTGTGCCCTTAAAAGAATGGGCAGTAATCAGGTAGCTGAACCACTGGGCTGCTGCCATCCCCACCCCATCCCCTAATAAATAGTGTGGAAGTGTAATGGTGTAGTAGTATTGGATTCAACAAAAAAAAGACAGTCTCTCACCATTCAAGGCAAACACTGCCAGGGCTAGATGAACCTTGGCAGGAAATAAGACAATTGTAAAATCACAGGTACTTCTAGTTCATCCCCAGGTATGTTGAATTCTCACATTTATGCTATTGCCTCTCATCCCAAGATTTGTTAACTCTTGTTATTCTCCCAGTCTCTACTGCACGGATGCACAACACTCTACTTTAGAAAGACCTTGGGGAAAAAAACAACCTTCAAATAATACAGCCTTCTCGATCTTCCAGGTTATAAGTTCAGTGGTGTTCTAATTTCACTCACATTGCCTCAGATTGTTTACTTCACTTACTCTAACCTCAGGTCTGATATACTAACCCTGTCCTCCTAAGGGAGTGTAAGATGAGTCTCTCTCCCTGGTCCCCAAAGTTTTGATAGGGATTTCTCTTTTGTTTTCCTCCAGAATGAAACTGTGTTGCCCCTAGCTACCTGTAGATTAGAAAAAATATTTGTTCCTGAAAAAAAGACTTGGATTTTACCGAGCTTACTTAAGTTGGTATCCTTCCAATCATCTAGGCTGGATACTGCCCACATCTAGTAGGCCATACTTACCTTAGTTCTCTGCAATATATGAGGCACAACATACATATATATTCTCCTAAGCACAAGGTAAGTTACATATGACAAGAAAGTGCTCCCCAGACCAGAGAGAGAGGTAATCTGGTCTCTCACGTCCATTCAATGTGCATATTTTTCCCTTGAGTGTCTGTTACCCACCTTTCTCAGAAATAACTACCAATGTGAGGGGGAGTACGGGGCATATAAGTACAATCATCACTGCACTGGTGCCTGTAATCACCCTATGCACACAGTGAGAAACAGGTATTCTGGAAAGGATCCTTGATTCTCCCACAAACTGTCCTTTGGACTGGTCACTAGCTCTGGACGGTGCTCCAACAATGGTCACTTCTCTCGGAGAACACACACACCAGCATCACAGCGCTGGGTTCCCATGGAAGTCACTACTTCCCAGCTGTCAATGATAGGGTCATAGCATTCAATGCTACTCAGCAGGGAGTTCCCATCATATCTGAGTGGGAAAGAAGCAAAAGAAAAAAATGAGCTTTCTACTACTTCCCACACAAATCCTTCATTAAAGTTGCCACTGGAGATGTCTTTCCCTACCCAAACCCTGTCTCCACCCAAAAGTGAGGATTGGATCACAAAGACTCTTGCCCTGGATGCATGATGACTCTAGCCTGCTTTTTAAACCCTCACCACCCTGCCTCCCCTGCAATTCCCCCAAAAAAGAAAACAGAAAGAAAGAGTAAAAAAAGAGTTAAAAGTCAATCAATTAATCAATCCTCACCCTGCAATTGCACAGAGCCGCCCCCGAAGCACTGTGGCCCCTACGTAGCATCGTGGAGTGGTCATACTAGTGACAGTTGTCCAAGAATCGGTGCGAATGTTGTATGCTTCAACAGAAGAAAGGTGGGCTGTACCGTCAAATCCCCCCACCACATAAATATGGTCATTCAGCAGGGCTACTCCTGCACCTGGGGGCAGAAAGGGTATTAGCAAATAAATGGTACTAACCCTAGGATCTGAATTCTAGAAACAAAACATGGTCACTAATGGCTAGCCGAATTCTAGGGTAGATGAGGGATATGAACTAGGCCCAGATGGGCCTAGGCTAATCTAGTCCAGCACAGATTATCCCATCTGTAAACCCTTTGTCTAGGTCTTAAAATGATAAAAGAAAAGCTGAAATGGTTCTCTTCTTCATTTTCAATAACTCAGAGCCCAACCCTCTTCATTAGGCAAAAAGAAGGAAGTGAAAAAAAGAAGGCAATAGAGGTGTAAGGAAGGAAAGGAGTTGTGACCATGGTTCTGCAGCAATTTTTATCTAGAGGAAGTAAACTAGAATAGTGTTTTCTCCTTTCTTACATCCCGTTCTACTCCACTTCAAGAAGCTCTCAGTGAAGGTACATAGCTATTCTATTCTTATGCATTAGAGATTTTATTTAACAAACATTTATTTAACATGTACTATATACACAAAATTGTATTAGATATTCTAGAATGCAGAGAAGAAACAAAGACATAAGAAATGAATAAAATAAGAAGGCTTCTGCCCCCAAATTTATAATCTAGTTGGAAGTTTAAGCTTCTTTATCTTCACTAATATTTACAGAAAACACAGGAAAAGGGGAGAATGGAATCTGACTCATTTTTACATTAAGTCTACAGCAAAGCAGGAACTACAATTCTGATTTGCTGATAGCCTGTCCTGTGAATGCACCACCCC